AGAAAGTTCCCTTGAAGCTCGCGCTTTCACTCCTTCAGTTTTAATTCAAATCGAGCGCTCCCTTTTGCTAAGGTTCGCGTTACCGGCGGAAGATGGCTGCTAGTTGCCCGCAAATGAGATTTTCTTAAAAGCTTAGCTGCCGCGCTTTACTTACGGGTGTTCCAGTTCGTTCCAGGTGAGTCGTTTTCAACGGACGTTTCAGGCAGCTCGCTGCTCTGCGAAATCGACTGGGCGTTCTTGCGATACACTGCGATCATGCTCCAAGGTACACTGCTAAGTCATGGAGTCGTGGTGTTCCTTATTGCTTTGTCAGCGAGGCACTTCGTGCAAAGTTCAGGTATGTAACCTCGATAGTTGGTTCGCTTACGTCCACTTAGTAAATGCAGTTTTCATTTTTTTTTCAGTATTATGCCGTCAGAGTATTTAATTGACGCAACCGCGTCATATGCTAGATAGACTTGTGCAGAAGCACGCTCCTGCAATTGTTATTAGATCTATGATTAGCGCACGCTGACTACATTAAAACATTTCCGCCCTTCAAGCGAAAATGAAATCAATGCGCTTTGTTCAAACAGGCTGTGTATACTTCACGCTGGCTTCTAGGGGCACAGCGTCAATGCCTAAACAGCTAATGCAAGCATACAAAAGCACATTGTGCGGTTTAACATGCGCTCTGGTGGTTAGGCAGCAAGTTCTGAAACAATGTGTACAACAATTTCTTGACTATTCAAGAATATGATGATACTTCGCTTCACAGACTATCGCCAAGCGCTATAAGACTTTCATGGGCGCTATAAAAGCGAACATTCCTGTCGCGTTCACAAGCGTGCCTTGACTCAAATTCACGCTTCGCCTCCAATTCGATTGTCGAGGGCATGACGCGTACGGATCAAGTTTATCGTCTGCCTTTCGGATCTGTGCATAGACAACCATCGTAATTGAAACCACTGGCCCGTTGCTATGCTACAGTTTTACCTTTGTAGGCACAGTCGAGGCAATTAATGGAACGATATGGGTTGGCATTCAAGCTTGATCTGAATGCTCAAGTTACCCGAGGTTTCAGAATTTAATAACACTGACAACTCCATGCTAAAGGACCTTATCAGGACGCTTGGTCAAGTCAAGGGATCATGGCGTTTGTGGTGTCTTGACTTCGCGTGGTGTCCGTGTTCGCATGCCCAATATGTTAACTGACAACTCCAGCCTAGTGGCGACACACTAGTTTCAGACGAGCAAGCATCGGGTCGAGTAACTTCGTTTTAAAATACGGGCTTCGGTGGCGCAGCGCGCTTTGAATGGCCGTCTTCGTTCCAGAACCGCCGAAGATCAGGGAGTTTAGGTTTCCGGCCAACCTTTCTCCCGGCGACACGGTCGCCGTGAACTGCGTCGTGAAAAAAGGGAGTTCGGGCCCGTTCAAACTCACGTGGATGAAGGACGGCGTGCCAGTGCAACCTACAGAGACCCTGACGGTGGCTTCGCACAAGGGAGGACCCCTGTCGGCGCTGAGCATAGTCGACCTAGCGGCCGAAGACAGCGGAAACTACACCTGTGTCGCTAGGAACGCGATCGGAAACGAAGAATTCTCCGCCTACCTGGCCGTCAAAGGTATGGGGTTATGCTTATCGATGTCGTAAACCTTCACAAGACTTGTGGAAGAAGATCGCGAAGCATTTGTATTCGTGAAATTTAGGAAAAGTAACAAGAGATTCCTGGATTAGGCGCATTGTTATTTTCAAGGCAAATTGCGCATCGATTCAAGATGTCCCTGTTCGAGATGCACCAACCAAAAATAAAAGTTTAGTTGCTCAAAACGTAAAACAAACTAACTAAAAACGCCCTTTTCTGTTTTGAGCCATTCCTTAAACGGGTAGCAGGTTCGCGCTTTCTTTATATTGTGAACATATTCGAGTTAGAATTTAGAAGCGTCAGAATGCTTCTTGAACAATAGACCAGGCGACGCTGTGCCTTTAAAGTGTTCGTTATATGCACATAACCCTAAGGGGCAGGAACTATCGTGGGATGACTGTCTAAGTCAGTAATGTGGACATCCTCAAGCCAAAGTCTTGCGGAAAGCGACGTGGCTAGAGACAGCGGTGAAATGACAAGGCAGTCCTAATAGTCACAACAAATGAAGCCAAATGAATTCAACGAACGGCCAAACGAAGTACAGGGACAATTTTACGTGTTAGCCGTGCAGCAGTAATCATGAAGCAAATTAAAGTGAATTAAAGCGGAAGGAAACACACTCTTTCCGTTTGTAGGACCTGAAAAACGGCGCTATAAATACACGTCCGACGCCCTGCGGATTTCAACAACGTTACAGGAATGTTTACAACTCACGCCAAATGTCTATAGGGCATACTCACTTGTACGCCCATAACGTCAAGTATGTGATACGTACATGATTAGAAGGTCTGGGCTTCGAATCTCCATTTCAGGGGTATCATACACGTGCCCGCGGACCCTCTGGCTAGAGGCCCGAATAGGACGCGACTGGCTTCGTCGCCTTTTAAAGTTTTTTTTTTAATAAGTGTGTCACACTTGTGAGTACTATCAAGCATTTTTATCAGGTATCTGTTGTACCAGCAGGAATGTAGACCTCGTCGTGACTACAGGAATTTGTGCATGCTGTCCCCGCGGCATGTTTCGTTGTCGTCATCAACTGCGTGTGTCGACGTTCTTATGGGAAGCTATCTCTTTAGAATTACGTTTAAGCGTTTCGTAACCCTTCAAAATCGTATTCGCAAGCTTCGTCACTGCGGGTGGTGACGCTTGGCTCCCCCTATGTGGAAAACACTGCGTGCGCCTATGCTTATCATCGAATGCCGCGGCTTGTTCTCCCCTCGCCGATTTCACGCGTAAATATTCAGAGCGGAAACGCGGTGCTATGTTGTGAAATCGGCGATAACATTCTACTTCCGCCAAATGTGTCGATATGAGATAATGTATATGAATGTATGAATTATCCTTTTCAGAGTGTGATAATTGGAAAACGTACGTGTTGCGCGACAAACGTCAATTTTTATACTTACTGTATAGTTTCGCACTGGGCTAAATGAATGCAGATTTTTACAAGGGTCACTCACCAAATAACGCTTTTTCTCGCATTCGGGAATCGCTCTTTCACGATACCAATAACCGACGTTTTCTGCGAAGAGACGCTTGGTAAGCGAGAAAAACGTGCAAAAAACTGAATGCGATGGCGACGTTATCTGCAATTTCTCGCACCAGTCGCCGTGACGTCATAAATTTTGGCTACGTCCACTGTGGCACACGCAGATCCCAATAGGTTGAATGCAAGTGCACTGTCTTTTGCGGGAACCAGAGAGGCTTGACATACACGAGGTTAAAAAAAAAATTCGTTGAGCCAATGCCGCCCCCCCCCCCCAAAAAAAAAGAAAGAAACTTTCAAATCCGCGACATCACCAACGGAAACTTCAGCGGGAATTTCAAAAAGAAGCGACGTTTGACATTGATTTTTTCGGCTATAACGAAACCTATGGTGGTGAAACTGATTGATATGTGGGGTTTAACGTCACAAAACCACCATATGATTATGACAGACGCCGCAGTGGAGGGCTCCGGAAATTTTGACCACCTGGGGTTCTTTAACGTGCACCCTAATCTGAGTACACGGGCCTACAACATTTCCGCCTCCATCGGAAATGCAGCCGCCACAGCCAGGATTTGATCCCGCGACCTGCGGTTCAGCAGCCGAGTACCTTAGCCACTAGACCACCGTGGCGGAGCTATGGTGGTGAAACTAACGACACGGGAGTTTTCACAGTATGAATTATCAGTCTGTGCTAATTCATTGCGTAACCTTAGTGTCCCTTTAGACTTTTACGAGGGCACATATGCTAACGCACGCAAGTCGAATTTTCCACCGGTTTCAAACAGCGCGCTCCGACGTCCTGCCCTGGACACGATAAGCTTTTTTTTCCGCGGGTAGTTTTGCATTCACTCGCTGGGTGTCGTTAGTTGTCCACCATCAAGCGGGTTATGCTGCAGTCCGTATTTTGCGTTTCCTTCTGCACATTTTCAGTTCGGGCTTGCGAGAGGTGTTCGCATTTTCAAAGCGGCGCTTGGCTCAGCAGCGCTTGTGCTTGAAAGTTCAATCACAATTTCCTCATACAAAGAGCAACTGCAAGTTCTCCGGCACAATGAACAGACGTGTGTATTTGGCGTTGGTCTTCTTCGTGTCTGCCACAGAGTCTTCAGCCAGAGACACCGGTAAGCCAACTGCAAAGAACAGCATATTCAGGGACCCCTGACAGCAAACTTAAAGCCTCGAGATATTCATGTCATTTGATTGCCCTGTATACGTGGGTACTTCAGGCAGACTATTTTAGCCGAAAGTTCTCTTTAAGGTATCGTGATTTGGTTTTACAGTGAGCGTAGGCGCTCTTCTGAGTCGGCAGCGTTAGGGACGTTATTGGTAACATCTCCGAACATCGCCGCTAGTACGACGTAGGAGCCCCGCGTGAAGCTCCACGAGTAAAGCGAGTACTGTTAAAGTCTGCGGGCTTGCGGGATGCACATACCACGACTGGCAGCCGACGAAAGCTACGGTTCCTCGCCCCTCTCTCTTTGCGGTCGGGCTTCTCTCATTTAGGGTATTAGCTGCATGCTTATAGTAGGAATACTTTTCTTTTCCCTGAGGGGACACGATGTTCACAAATTAAAACCATTTTTAGTGAATGGATAACAGACCGAAGCTCCCACATTTACCGCGCGCTGGACCCAGATTTTAAAAGTGCGCGTTTTTTACGTCACCAAAGCGTCAGTGCACGTAATGTTAGGTGCTCCCCCGCGACGGGGCGCTAGTTTCTCGTGATTTTTGGCGGGCGTTTCGAAGTGATCCTGGAATCGGTCACAACTGAAAACGCTAGCATACGATACTTTAGACGATTTAAGATTCGGTTTCAGTATCTACAAAGCAATGTAAAAAAAGGATCACGAATAAAATTTTTGCTGTCAGGGGTTCTTTCACACGATCGTTTTGGCGACAGAAAAAGCTTTATTTCTAAAAATGATAATGCGTTCCCCGATGGCTCCGATGATCACAGGCCCTCCGAGGCTTCTGGAGTTCGCCTTTCCTCCTGATGTCAGTCTGGGCGATGAGATCATCGTTCCTTGCGTGGTGAAGAAAGGCACGGCGGGACCGTACCGCATCGCTTGGCAAAAGAACGCCGTCGACCTGCGAGAGAATGCCGATCGTGTGTCTGTGTCGTACCCGAACACCAAGAGGAGCTCGACTCTGTCAATAGCGAGCCTGCAACCCGAGGACGTGGGAAACTACACGTGCAGCGCGAGCAACTCGTTTGGCAGCGACAGCTTCACGGCGGCGCTCGTCGTCAACGGTAAACTACACTCACTAGAATCAGCGATATGACGCAAGCGAAACGTTTTAAACATTTGCATAGGGTGAGACACTTAGTGGCACACAAAAGGCCTCTAATGTCGCGCGATATCGGAGGCAATAGCGCATACTATTTTCTCAGATCCCACACAGATGTGTGTGCGCCACACACGCTAAAACGCAAAGTGAAAAGATGAAATGACCAGGTTAGTATCACTTTAAATTTAGCGAAATGCATTATATATGTACAATACCTCACGCACAACCGACTTTTCGCTCTTGCTTCTGGCCGAATAGTTGAGCGATCGATTCTTCTGGCCAAGTGATCACTCTCATAAGCAGGTACTTTTTGTTTTCATTATTCCTACGTAACGCGTTGTATCCTAATGACATCCCCGCCCCGTCGATTAAGAACTTCGACATTGCATAGAAAGCAGTCGCATAAATCCAAAATATCAGAAGGTGCACAATATATATATATATATATATATATATATATATATATATATATATATATATATATATATATATATATATATATATATATATTGTGGTAGAGCCTTGAACCCGTCATTCGAAGGTCGCAGGTTCGGATCCTCCCCACGACATGTTATCTTTTCACCCACTTTTCTTCATATTTACATTACAATTTGGTCTAATATCTTCCCCTATACTTTCCTTGGCTATATTGTCTGTTAGATATCATTATTATTGTGTAAAACACGGGAAAACGAGCCCTTAGGTATACACTTCTTTCCTTAATTCATTAACGAGGGTCTCGTACTGGCAGACTTAGTGCCTTTAGGTTGTATACGAGGGACTATTGGTCAGCTGCCCACCCGTAACAAGTTCACGTGCTACGTGACGCCAAACAGGCTCTTTATGAGTGTAGGACACTCGCCGCCTTGGCTACTGGTGGCGCTGACTGACACTCCCACGTTTAATTCACATATAAACCCTATAAAGTGGCTGGGGGACAGCTGTCGTGGTAGCTCAGTGGTAGAGTATCGAACGCGTCATTCGAAGGTCGGAGGTTCGGACCCTGCCCACGGCAAGTTATCTTTTCACCCACTTTTCTTCATATTTCTTCAATCAGACAACTTTTCTGTTAGATCTCAGTAATATTGTGTTAAAACACGGAAAAACGAGCCCTTAGGTATAAACTTCTCTCCCTTATATATATATATATATATATATATATATATATATATATATATATATATATATATATATATATATATATATATATATATATTATTCATATGACGAAATCATGCTTTCGAAGAAAATTGAAAAACGAGTATGAGTGCCAAGCTCGCCTAATCGCAAAACTGCACTGTTCTGCTCAGTCTCTGCTGGAATCGGTCGAGCGACAGTTGCGATTTGAATAGCCTCCTCTCGCGGCAGAGGTGTGTTAAGCACACATACACGCTACAAGATCATCAGGAAATGAAAATTGATGAAATGCATTACATATTTAACTGTTAAGCAATGCAAATATGTGATGCTTGAAAGATAAAGCTCAAGGGGGAACACTCGCCCGAGAGCCTGAACAAAAGAAAGATTACGGTACCCTGCCTTCCCCTCGCCCTGCGATTTACGTCAGTGCTGGAAAGTGTTGGCTCGATAGTGAACCAACACTGCTTCAAGCGGATTTTCTTCCCGCAAAACCTCTCTCTAAATGCGTCACACCGTCCACCTTAACAATCCGGTAACGTCCCCGAAACCAGAATGCCGTGCCGTATTCCTGCACCAGTGCATGGGTTCATGGGCCTCGGCAGGAAGGGCACTACAAATGGGGCACTCGCTCCCCTCTAGTCACTCCAGCACTTGCCTCTCCCCCCCCCCCCCCCAAGAAAAAGCTACGCCAGCGTCCCCCCCCTCTAAGGCACGATGCGATTCGGGTTTGCACCCTACAAGACAAAATTCTGCAGACGTGTAAATAACGTTCCACCATCCATCCATGATATCCATGCTTGGTACATACCTAAGTTACAAAAAAAACGAAACTTCAGAATCGTTCCACAGTCACTCCCTCACAAAGAGGAAATCTAATCCGATGGAACTCGTGGGCAGCGAAGTGATCCGTTTCTCAAGCGATGAGCTCTCGCGATCCGGCTTTTGCGGGCGACATTTCGTTATTTCAGTATTCGCGCCGTGTCTGCTTTCGCTGCTCACCAACAGATGGCAGTACTTGTCCACGCGCCGTTTTCGATTCTTGTGTGCGAGCGTCCGCAGGCAGAGCTCGGCGGCGGCATTCGCCCGTGCGCTTCTCACCGCTGCGCCGCTATGGTCCACCACGCCGTTCTCGCCTTTGCTATTCTCCAACTTTCATATGCGTTCGCAGAAGGCCACAGTCACTCATCAGGTATGGATGCTTCCAGCTGTCTTGTATTTTCTGTTCTTCGAATCCATTTGTTTTCAGTGGCAGATGACAAATCACTTCATTTGGTGCGCTTGTCTGGCAGAATATTCGCTTACATACACACGCACCAATGTGATATAGGCAAAATGGTGAATTCGCTGCACACTTTCGTAATCAAATGTGTCGAACGAAGGCATCAGGGGGAAAAAAATTCGGACATCTGTGTATTCTCTGGCAGAAGCCGTCGAATGCGAAACAGTGGCGGTCCACTGAAATAGTCCTCGTGGAGTGCATCACGTGATTTCAGTGGAGTGCAGGGACTGAGTGTTCGCTAAAAATGCTAAAGTTCTCTATAACTCAGATGGGCAACCTAAATTTTTAGGTGCTTGCCAAGGCTTTACTGAACGTATGTGCCCAACTATATTAAGCAGGGATTCAGATATGATCACTCTCGACGTTCCTGTCCTCAGGCCTTTGTCCAAGGTAGCACATTTGTTTTTGTATTCTCATTATAGTCTATAGAGAGGTACTTAAGCAATGTTAGTTTCCTTCTACCGTTCAATCATTCCACCAGCTACCCCGTAGTCAAGTACTCGATTCCATCGCAAGATCTCGTCACTGCGACCAACTACGACGTATAAAAACCAACCGCTTGTCCTTCCAGACGGCCCAAAGATAAAGGAATTCGAATTTCCGACGAACCTGTCCCCCGGCGACACGATTGCCGTGGTGTGCTTGGTGCAAAAGGGAAGCGCGGGTCCCTACGAACTGTCATGGCGGAAAGACGACCGGCCCGTTGTGCCCTCAGCGAGCCTTACCGTGACGTCATCTAAGGGCGGTCCTATGTCCACTCTCACTGTCGCCGACGTCTCCGCCAGGGACAGCGGAAACTACAGCTGTGTGGCCAGGAATGCAGCCGGAAGCGATCGGTTCACCGCGCATCTCGCCGTCGCAGGTATTGCTTGCAATTTTCCCGTCGTGCGACTAAGCACAGCGATAGAGTTCTCAACTTGTACAAACCTGGTGTAAGAAAGGACACACACTTAGGCTCAATGCAGGAGTCTTTGTTCGAAGTTCTTGTTTCCGAAGTGAATCAACACCAGGGTTGTCGACACAATTTTGTCTTTTAAGGGTTCGCAAACCCGCGTTACATCGCGGTGCGGGATGGAAGAAGCGCTAGTGTGGCTTGTGGTGTCCGGGGGCGAGTACACATTCCGCAACCCAGACCCCCCGTCCAGCGACGCCCATGATCATCACCACTGTCGCGATTTCGTCGCACTTTGCATGAAAACATGACAATTCTCGATAAAACAAAAATAACATGCGCACAAGCACAGGTTCCCGTGCTAGAACTTCGCTGCTTCATAGTCACTAAACGCTTTAGCAGCAAATTGCGATGGTCTGATCAATGCTTCATCCTCGCGGCCGTATTATATGGGACTTTTTTTTCATCTTGCATGATTCTTGTAACAATGGATGGTCTGTCGTGACAAGGCGACCCTGCTGTGATGATAAACAAGTCACGACATTATCACAAGAGAAGCACGCCTATCTGGTGACGTGATTCTCTCGCAGCTGCGGACATTTTTTTTTTTTTCAATTGCAGTGTACTGGAATAGGCACTGCCCGTCACTTCCCGTCAAGCGCCGCATACCGCAGTAGCTCACAGGCCTTCGAAGACTCCACAACTCCCAAGTACAAATAATGCTGGATATATATATATATATATATATATATATATATATATATATATATATATATATATATATATAGATATATATATATATATATATATATATATATATTGTATGGTCGCCCATTGGATGTCGTCACCAACCATCATGCACTATGCTGGCTTTCATCATTGTAGGATCACTCAGGCCGTCTCGCCCGTTGGGCTCTTCGCTTACAGGACTACGACATCCGCGTGCTGTACCGCAACGGACGCCAGCATGCTGACGCCGACGCCCTCTCGCGCTCCCCTCTGCCTGAAGGTGATGTGCTCTGCTCAGTATCCTCGGCTGCTGTTTCTGCCATTAATGTTGACATAATCGCTACCGAACAGCGAAAGGATAATTCGATAGGCCCGCTCATCGACATGCTCTCTGATCCATCCGCAACGCCATCCACGCGTGCATTGCGTCGTCAAGCTCGCCATTTCGCCATTCGTGACGGCCTCCTACACCGACGCAATTACGACGCCAACGGCCGGCAGTGGTTACTCGTGATACCCCGCAGTCTGCGGTCAGAGATATGTGAATCCTTCCATTCTGATCCGCAATGCGCGCACTCTGGGGTATTCAAAACCTACCGTCGCATTCGACAACGCTACTTCTGGCGCGGGATGTACCGCTATGTGCAGCAGTTCGTTCGCTCTTGCCTCACTTGCCAACGCCGTAAACCGTCAGCCCACATGTCGCACGCCAGTCTACAACCGTTACCTTGCCCTGACCGTCCCTTTGGGCGCGTAGGT